TGTGAGGGATGCTGTGAGGGATGCTGTGAGGGATGCTGTAAGGGATGCGGGAATGGATGCTGTAAGGGATGCTGTGAGGGATGCTGGAAGAGATGCTGTGAGGGATGCGGGGAGGGTTGCTGTGAGGGATGCTGTGGAGGAATGCTGTAAGGGATGCTGTGGAGGGATGCTGTGAGGGATGCTGTGATGGATGCTGGAAAGAGATGCTGTGAGAGATGCTGTGAGGGATGCTGTGGGAGGGATGCTGTGAGGGATGCTCTGAGGGATGCTGTGGGAGGGATGCTGTGAGGGATGCTGTGAGGGATGCTGTGGGAGGGATGTTGTGAGGGATGCTGTGAGAGATGCTGTGGAGGGATGCTGTGAGGAATGCGGGAGGGATGCTGAGAGGGATGCTGAGAAGAGAAGCTGCAGTAAGAATGCCGCCATCGCTACGAACGACTACGGAACATAATTTTCACACAAGTGCGATTCCAGATCCAAAGCAATCTCGCAGACGATCGGGTAACAACCCGTTTTCACGGAAGGCAGCGAAGACAGAGAGAGTTATAACTCAGGTGAAAAGTACAGGTGAAGTAATAATGATTAACCACGCCCCTCCTCCTTGTGATCGCCACCAAACATCTCATCGCATCAGCATACACAGCCTTGGTTAAATTAGCCCAAGAAACCTAGAAACACTATAAGAACTTGAAAGAACTTCTAGCTTAGAACGACTTAGCTCAGGAATTCGTGCTGATGGGAGAAGATTCGAAAGATGGCCGAGAGCAGAAATATGATATCATAGCATCTCGGATTGTTACACCGACATAGTCAGGCTCGGTGATAGTGTCTGATGATATATACAATGCAGTAATAATCCTTTGTGTTTGCAGCGAGTTGTTCTTTTTCGCGGGAGGTCTATTGTGCAATAGCACGCACACGTAACCGCCACGGTGCCTGTGCTACGCGATCAACGAGTTAGTTTGCTAATTTGGAATGACTCGGTCTCTAGGTTTCTCTCTCTGTGTGTCTGTTTCTCTCACTCGCTATGTCTCTCTCTTTCTCTCCCCTCTCTCTTTGTCTGTCTCTCTCTCTCTCTCTCCCTCTCTCTCTCTCTCTCTCTCTCTCTCTCTCTCTCTCTCTCTTTCTCTCTCTCTCTCTTTTTCTCGGACGCTCTCTCTCTCTCTCTCACACACTCTTAATTAATTCTCTCGCGCTCACTATCTCGCTATCTTGTTATGTCTTGCCTCCTTTCATTTCTATTTATATATGTTTCTCGTTGTTTCTATTTGCCTCATCACCCTTTCTAGCACTTTCTGTCATTACATATTTGTACTAGCGGGATACCCGGCGTTGCCCGGATAAATCAGTGGCGTTACTCAGCTGATAACCGATTGGTTGAAAGGAAAATACCCCAAATAATCTAACTATCTATCTATCCATACATCCATCCATGCATGCATGCATTCCTCCATCCCATTCCATGCCATCCCATCATGGATTCAGACGTGATGTTGTGTGTACGTACGTGACCTAATCAATAGAATTTTTTATGAATGTTTAACTTTTAAAATTTTTAAAATGTTTGATTCAGCCAGAACCACCTCTCCGTGCTGATTCTGAAAATATCGTTAGTTTTCCTCTAGGCTGCGGAGTTCTCTAGTTATGCGAGTACGGACTAATTCGGCTGAACAACTTGATATATATAGATTTTCCTCTAGGCTGCGGAGTTCTCTAGTTATGCGAGTACGGACTAATTCGGCTGAACAACTTGATATATATAGAATTTTTTATGAATGTTTAACTTTTTAACTTTTTTTAATTTTTGTTTCAGTCAGAACCACTTCCCAGACGTGCTGATTCTGAAAATATCTTTAGTTTTCCTCTAGGCTGCGGAGTTCTCTAGTTATGCGAGTACGGACTAATTCGGCTGAACAACTTCTATATATATAAAGTTGTTCAGCCGAATTTGTGTGTTCGCGCATAACTAGAGAACTCCGCAGCCTAGAGGAAAACTAAATAATATTATATTTTCAGAATCAGTTAGGTGAGGCGGGATGTGGTTCTGGCTGAAAAAAAATTTCAAAAAAGTTAAAAAGTTAAAAATTTCTAAAAATTTTATTCATCAATAGATGGCGTACAGATTAACATTATACATCACGTACGTGTGAATCCATGGTGTATAACCATAACGGCCCAGTAGCCGAATGTATAAAGCATCGGACTCCTAAACCATTGATTCTGGGATCGAATCCCACCTCGTGCAATGCTTTGTTTCTTTACTTTTGGACTGTTTAGTATGTACTTCTGCAGTATTCATCGTTAATTTCAAAATTTAATTTTTTTACCACATTTAAACGTTTAGTAAAAATCCAGAATAAACTATGGTAGGTAATAATGATAGCGCAAACTGACGGGAACACTTCACGGAAGCCTATATAGGTTACATATCAAATATTATTATAGGCCCGGGGAACGCTACCGCCCGATAAAGCCCCACAGGGCCTGCCGCGGAGAAATCCCCGAAGACACAACCACACCCGCACGAACCACCGACCCGGCAAGCGTCAATCATGAAACCGACCCCGACACCACTGGTTATGAGGCGCGCACCCGGCCCACGCACACGCGACGACGCCACGCAGTTTAATTAGCAATACGCGACATTTTGCAACCACGCGATGCACGCTAACACGCACGCACGCACACAACACACACACACACAACACACACACACCACAGCACATGACACCACACCTCCGCCCCCGCCCTACCGCCACCGGCCAACCCGCCCCTAACGCCCACACCCGCCACCACGCACCCAAAACCACCGCGCTCACACCCAACACAACACACCACCAGACGCCAAACAACAGCAAACCCGCGCGCCGCGCGCACCGCAAACACTGCGCACCCGCCGCAAACCACCACAATCTTATACGTATATGATCCTATCCCGCTTATTTACTAAACAATCAAGAGCGTCATAAAAGAAGGTAGCTTCTTTATCACGCTCTTGAAACCATCTATAGTAGCCTGCTATAACATAGTATATATATCACATATTATATAGATATATATATATATTTATATAATCATATCTACATATATACTGCCTGTGTCGCGTGTTTGTGCTGCTGCGTGGGTCGCGATCTCCTGCGTGCTGTCTGGCTAGCGAGCCGTGCATGTGTGTGCGCGCGAGCAGCTGCATGTGTGTACGCACGAGGCCGTCGCATGATGTGTGCGCGCGATGCGTGCCACTTGCTAGCACATGTCGTGGGCAGCCACGCAGCAAAGCCGACGTTCATGTGTGTGTGCGCCGCGGTGTGTGTAGCCCTGTGCCGGCGCCGCACCCAATATCAATTGCCCACAGCGAGGCACGGACAACACCGACACACACACACACGCACAACTCCCCCGTTGCCGGCATATTACGATATCATTGCGGCAGCGGAACAGCAGCACAGCTGCCGGCATGGTTGTGTCAACGCTTAGCTGCAGCCGGGCGTATACAGGGCGCCATACCCATAGGAATCTATTATACACAATGCTTACTAATATCAGAGAATCAATAATAGATCTAGTGAATAGATAAAATTCATGAATTAAAATTATTTATTTATTATTGCCACGCCTGATAATGCATATAACTAACATCACAATAAATGTGTACAGGATGATCTATGGCTATACTCCCCACCCTCACACTGACACACTCAACAGCCACGCGGACGAAGCAAGCGGAGCGACCACCCACCCGAACTAGAGCAGTATAGATATGACACACACGAGCATAGCGAACACACATCACTCACCCGCCGATAGACCCATCCCCGGCACCCCAATACTGGATCACTACAAAAATAGCCATCGCGCGACCCGCGACACGAGCGACATGTCACAAGCAGCGCCCGACCGGCGAGCGCAACACACACCGATTCAAAAAGATGTGCGACGTCGCGCACGAACCGCGACACCACCTACCTGACGGATAGTGTTCTTGCTTTGTCACGAATGAATTAGTTTAGTTGTCGGTCCCAGTATAACCGACCCCCCTGTTTAGCGTGTTTAATTACCACCGCTTACGCGGGCGCATCTCGCTCTCGACACCGACGGCCCATCGCCTGTTGTGCATTTGTATTTTCTTCGCCCGGATTTTCGGTGGTGAAACGTGTGGAATTCTACACGTTCTGTGCGACAGCGCGTTCTTCCGGAATCAAACTCGTTGGCGGGCGCTATGTATTATAGTGTTACATATGTTAGTGATGTTCATAGTTTCAGAATCGGTAATTGTCACGTTTTCGATAATTGCATGATGTGCAGCAAACTATCCTGGTCTAATCTGGTAGAGCGACGGGCCGTCTTCTCCGCATCCACGCACCAGTGACCATTTTAGTGGCCCCGGCAGTTAGAGTTGCCGATACTGAATGACTCAACTCAAGGCACTAGGATAGTGACTACTAGCACTTAAAAAAAACAACCCCCAAACCTAAGCCTAACCTAAACGCCTAACCGCTAACGCCTAAAACAAAAATAAAAAAATAATTAAATTAAAGTGGCCTAGTAAGGTGCATATTCCATATCGATCTGAACTGCGCCGGGTTGCCGAATTTTATGGGGGTTATTATGGCCCCGGCGCAACTCCGCGCTGCAACATTATGGTCGATTCGTATGTCGGAGCAGCAAACGACGCGCTACGCATCTCCGCACTAGTAGATAGAGGAGGGCGCACGC